GGTAGTATAGTCTCCATTAAGTATCATGTATTTAATATAATAAGTATCATGTACTTAATATGAAAATGCTTATACAAAGAAAAAGGAAATTCGATAAGTGAAAGTCTCAATATTCAAGAGTAATTTTGTGCAATTTGGAAGTAGTGATTTAACAATAAAAAGTAGCGTTAAGAGTCTCCCCCCTCCCTGAAATAAGCAGAAACAAATTATATTATTTAAATTTTATTATTATTTAAATTATGAATGATGTAAGTTGAGACAATAAATTTTTTGGAGGATTGTGGCTGATATATCTCAAAATTATATGAAGTAATATTGTTAAAATACAATATTTTGAGGAATAAGAAAATGTTCTTCAGAACCAAATGAGGCCCTTAATAAACAAAAGACAAAATTTGTAACAGCTGATTGAAAAAAGAAAATTCAATGACAAATATATTTATTTACAGAATGCTATGTAATAAACAAAAAAATATATATTAGAAATAAATAGAAAAATAGTTATTATAAATCTATTAAAATATCATAAAATATGGTTACTCAAATGGCATTGGAAGCTTTTCTTCCCCTTAAAAGGTATTAATATAATGGAATTTAATATTCTGTATTTATTATTATTATTATTATTATTATTATTATTATTATTATTATTATTATTATTATTATTATTACAAAAATTATGTATATGTAACTAATTATAATTTAATTTTATTAATATACAATAAAATTAATAAATTTAATTTATTTAATTAATTTGCATTTATTTTATTTTTAACCACTTTAAAGGCAAAAACAGTTTCCTCAACCCACATACAAAAACACCAATGCCCATATTATTCTTAGAATATACATATACCACAACAGAAGGTAAGTACCGGTCTTTCAGGTTTATGAGGATCCACCAACTTTACTGCCTGGCCATTTCGCACCAAGATAGCTTGTGAGTCACCCAGCCAAGCAACATATAGCTTTTTGTCTTTTTGTCTCAGCAAGGCACATACTGCTGTCGTTCCACTATTTAAACTCTGAAACAATACCAGAACATATTATTTGGAAAAAGAAAAAAAAAAAAAAAA